GCCGGCAGGTTTTGTAAATCAACTTTGTATTCTGTGTCATACACTTTATATAAATATCTATACACTGAAAAAAGATACTTCATATGTTGCCCTTCATAGATTGAAAAGAACAGTCTGATCTTTTTACATTATGCTTTAAAAAAAAAGAAAAGCGTAATTGCCTCTTTGGGGACTGCAGGTGGATGGTGAACTCCCTCGCTCTAGCAGATCAGCGCTCAGTCCAGCATTAACAACATTGTCTTAAGCCTTTTGACATTTTAACTGGATTGGTGGATAAGCCCATCAACTCAATCGAGGGCTTCTTGCCGCGGGCAGAGGCTCTGTTGGTGGCGGTTGTCATAGCTGAAGTTGTCTCTGTAATCTCAAGGCAACGCTGTGTGAAAGTGATCTATGGTATTTGAGGCAGCCCAGGGGCTAACATTTTCCACTTGAATTTAAATGGGGACTTGCCTTGGGTCAGTCATGAGGGAACTCCTGCCCCCCCCCCCCCCCCCCCCCCCCCCCCTGCTCCTCTGGGATTCACCAACACCTCGTTTGCTCTGCCTCAAAGTGTGGCTCTGTAACACGGGGCTACATTTAAAGGAGCACACCATTGTGGCCTTTGGGTTATAGCCTATGAGGTAACTTCTCCTATCCAGTGTTGTACTTTGTGTCGAGAGCCATGCCCAGCTGTTGCTCTCTGTCCCATGATCAACCTGTCTGCTAAATGGTGCACCTTCAGATAGATAGACTACACTATAACATATACAGAATAAATATACTCTCTCATATACCAAACTATGAATTATATAAACATAGTGTACCATATACATAAAACATTTGTCATATTTTTAATGTGTTTATGTTTAGACGTTAGCATGAGCCTCTGGTTTATGACGCATAATCCATCCTTTAATTTAGAGTAAGCACGTTTCATCCCTGCGAGAGGTGAGCAGATGTGCACATATTTGAGCGCTTGTTTGTTTATGCCAGCTCCAGAAGTCACACAGATGTAACTGTGCTTCCATGCTTCATACTTATAGCTGTTAAATATGAGTGAATTATGTGGTTTCCTACTGTTTCCTGGAGCATTATGTACCTCTGATGGTTGGTCACACCTTCTGAAAGGGTCGCGGATGAGGTATTTGCAACATTATTCAGCTCAGGGTGCACAGTTCTTCCACAGCTGGCCCCACGTTTAACAGGCTGAAAAACCAGTGGTGGGTATAGGTACAAACACAGTCTTACTAAAAGTGTTTTGTAGCTTTGTTGTCTTCAGTTTTGTGAAGCGGGAACATTGGAGGCTGCTTTGTGCTGAGTGCTGTGGAGGGTGCTACTGTTGCGTCACTGCCAATAGGGGGGCAGAGACTATATTTTTAGAAGGGAATGAGCATATTCTCCGAACAAACCACGTCAAGCACTCTGCTTGCGTATGCTAGGATTATTGTGACCAGGCTATTTTTAAGCAGTGTGTGTGTCAGTGCCTTTTTTCTGGGTCAAGTACGGTGCCAGTACTCTCTCTCTCTCTCTCTCTCTCTGGGCTGCTGGTGGATCCTGCATTACAGGTCCTCTGCTGTGCTCAGCATCTGCATCAGTCACAAAGGAAAGAGTCAGAGAGACAGAGGGTGTAATAGCCGCTTTAGGATAGGCCTGTGTCTGCAACCAACAATTAATTTCAACTGAAAAATAATCTCAACCACTCAAATTATGAATTCAGAAAGGCCTCATTAAACTGAAGTGTATCGTTAAAGGAGAAAAGAATACCTTCTAAATCGAAAGCCACATTGCATACAGATGTTTGTTTATTAGTATCCACACACTGATAAATACACACAGAACACAGAAATGTGTGACAAACACATTTTTGTGGGAGCGTGTTTGGGTGTGTCTGTCTTTATTTGTTGCTTCCAGAATAGAGAGATACACTACAACTATAAACTCAGCTGAAACGAAACTTGTGTATTTATATACTTAGTTTGTGTATATATTGAATATGTGCACGCTTGTTTGTATGTTTGGCCTGCAGAAATATTTATTTATCTTTCTCTTCATTTCTAGATGAATTGATCAATCATGTGGTGGATAACATGTCAGACAATACTGAGGGAGTTTCTCAATGACCAAGGTGATGTCTGACATGTTTTGTTCTGTAGTTTCAAAACCCAAATATAAACGGTTTAATGAAAATGAAACGGGTGAAAGCAGCACATTTTCATCAGATGCTGAAAAACATATTTTTTGTCATTTTGAATAACAAATTACTTGGACGACGAATAAGTTATCGAAATAGTTTTTGTGTTTGCGTGTGCGTGTCGTCCATGCATGTGTGAAACAACAAATTGAAACATCATTTTGTCTGATAACTAAATCAATATTTTGAATAAATCCAAAATAATTCTATACACACATGCAGATTGTATTGCTGTGACACTTACGGTACGTTCCACACGGCAGCGTGCGTTGAAGCTTGCCGGTGGGCGTGTCTGGAGCGCGACCAACAACCAATCGCATTAATCTCCCGCCCCGGACACACAAGCACGCGGTTTGATTGGCTAGAGCTTGTACTGGCATATGATTTGATTGGCTGGCGCTTCCGTCGAAGCTTGAAAAGTTGAACTTTTCGCAACTTTCGAAGCGAGCAACGGAACCACAATGCAGTTCGGCAAAGCGTGACGTCACCCCATTCAAAGTGAATGGGAAGCAGCGTTGAAGCTTCAAAGCACGCTGCCTTGTGGACGGGCCGTTAGTAGATCGACTTTGATTATGAGACATTTCTCTGACTTTAGAATTAATTAATTAATTAATACAAAAGAAAATCCGTTTACAACAAAGATGATAGTTAGTTTCAGCTCCAACACATTTTCAAACATTCATGATCCTGCTTGGCAATTGGACACCTATCCAGCCACACCCAGCCACACCCAGCCATCAGCATCACCACTCATGTTGTGACTGCGGGGTTTCCCCCTGTTCTGCTGCCTGTCCCTCTCTCTGTTTGCCTTTCTGTACATACCTGGTGTCACTTCCTTGAATGTCTGTCACCAGTTGACGGCAGCTGGCTGGACTTTCATTCCCACAGTGATCATTCTCCATCAGATAATCGGACATTAAAAGAATCAGTTTTACTGTGTCCAAATCGGTACAGCTGTCACATCCAGGATCGCTGGCCAAGAGGAAATTCTCAGAAGTTTGTTGCAGCATCAGTTGCAACCCACATTCAAACTGTCGCCACACTGTTGAACCATGCTTCAAGTAGATTATAAAGCTGTTTGTCACCGACACTTTCAACCAGAATGAGCAAAGTGACCTTCCCCTCTAAAGCCTGGCACTGACTTCTCGAGGCTTTACTCTGGGCCTCTCGAGGATAACCTAGCTCTATCCCAGTCCATCCCAAGAGTATAGTTATATTCAGCAGAACGCTTCTTTTGTGCTCTGATTTTGTCAAAGTGTTCTTCTGTGTAAAGCAAAGATATTTGAATAATGCAAAGAAGACAATGTTACTCATTTAACCAGAACACCTCCCATGCTGTTAGCAAGCCCCTGCTCCAGGTTGAGAAGTTCTTCAGGCTACAGCGGGGTGTTGTAGAGGCGAACATTGAATAACTGGTGGACCAGAGCCCTTTGCCGACACCAGGAACCTCCCCAAAGCTGGCCTTTGTCTGCTGGATGAATGACGCAGAAGGAATATAAGTGTGTTTAGACAGAATGGCTCAGTTCCAAACCAGAGGAAAGTCCACTTGCTGCCATAGGTCAGAAAAAAGTGGGGTTATGCAATGCTGTCTAGTCACATTTGAATGGCCAAATGCAGGCACAGAATAATACAGTCTCATTAGCATGGTGACTAAGATCTTGTCCACCAGGGCAGCGCAATATACAACTTTTTGAATCATCTCTGTGATGACAATGTAATTGGATATTTTCACCAGTCGTATCTGATCACAGACAGAACAATCCCTTCATTAGCTAGACTCTTACCGTCTTTGTTGTTGAAATATGAACAGGTGTGGGGGGGAAAAAACCACAACCTGTTGTCAAAAACTTCCTGGACGGGACATTTTTGTATCTCTTCTTACAAAAAGTCACACGTCATCACTCAATTTGACAGATATGCAGTCTCCCTTTCCTTGTTGACTTCTCTTTAGTTAACGTGTCACCTTAGCTGACATTGCCTTCAGCCCTGGTCTTGTTTTGTACTCACTTGGCTCTGAATCAGTTCTTCTCTTAGCGGTCCCAAGCAAACTTCTGCAACTCACGCCACCCACACACTGGTTATGTATAGCCCGCACCTACCCCTATCTGCCCACTGGTTTGAAAACAACGCTTTGTATAATTCTAAGGCTGCTATTTCTGAAACCTCATGTACAGGGAGCTCTTTCAATGTTATGTAATGCTCCCAACTCAACTGTAATCCCTCTTATGCTGAGTGAGCCCCCCATGTGATGGTGCTGAAGGGTTGGCTGTTCTACGGCTACTACTGGCTCTACGGGTGCTCTCTGTAGACTCTGGCCACTTACCCCCCCCTACACACACGCACACACACACACACACACACACACACACTGAGCTGTGGCCTGTGTATAAGAACAGAAGTTTATCCTGGAAAATCTCTTACTTGGATCTGAGACGCTGGATGGAAGCACATTGCTGATGCTCGTCCTTTGTGCCTGCGCTCGGACTAGACATACAGTAACTACACTGAGCATCAAACTGTATGTCCTGAATGACTCTCCGGATCTCCTCTCTTCTTCATCCGAGTGTGAGACACAAGGATTTATCTTTGTCCTCGGTTATGTGTCGAGGAATTTCTCAGCTTCTGGAATTTCGTCTGCGTGTTGTTATCTTTTGCTTGTGAGGAATGTTTTATGTTGCTGGTTTAGAGTGAGGTTGATGAAGACTTGTTTCAAGAACTGTTAACTTTTTTACTGATCTAACACTGCTACCTGGATGCTTGAAGGTATTTAATTAAATGTTCATTCACAGCTTACTTACCCTCATGCTTTTTTTTGTGTCTTCCTTCACAGGAACCGTCAATGTGGACTTCAGCTGGTGATTTGACAAGTCACCTATAGGATCCCCTCAGAGTCTCTCCTGTCTCCTCTCCCCCTCCCTTCCCTCTTGTCCCTCCCTCCCCCCTTCCCTTGTCAATCTTCTCCCCGATCCCTCTATCCCCCTCCTCCAAAATTCACCATGCTTATCAAGGAGTACCGCATCCCCATGCCCATGAGTGTGGAGGAGTACCGCATCGCTCAGCTCTACATGATCCAGGTGAGGTCACAACCCTAAATATATCACTTTTTTTACCCACACACACCTTGCAAGTAAACCAGTTTACAAAAACAAAGCAGTCGGAGGAGAGAGAAATTAACGGGGAGTGAAATAGCAGCATGCACAATTATGAAATGAGTGGTCACACGGTCTTGCGTCAGTGTAATGGAACAAAGAGAGCTTGTTAATAGATTAACCAATTGAAACTCTCTGACCCTGGCTGTTTCCATATACGTTTCTCCAGGAGACGGGGTCGGTGCACTTTGCTTTCACTGCCATCTCGTTGCACACACATCCCTTCAGTGATGGAGATGGATATACTGCCTTGTCTATGACAGTCAGTTCCATTTGTCTTACCAGGGCCCTTAGCTGGAGACTGGGAGTCTGTGTAAGCGCTTTAGGGTTTACAGCTCCATGCAGGAACGGGTGATTTATACAGCTTTAGTTATCCTGTGTGGCGACATATTTTCTCTTCATATGACATGTTTAAGTGGAGGAGGATTTATTTAATCCAGTGGTACAGCCAGGTGCACTGCGAGCAGAGGCATGGAGAGCAGTCACGGGGTCACACATACCTGTGACAAACCAGATTAGATATGTCACAAATCCTAAAACAGCTAATGATTGTGTGAAACCCAAATGTTTTCAAATAACGACACAAGGCATAGGAACCTGAAACTTCCAGCACAGAGCGGAGTTCTCAGTGCAGAGTGAGAGAGTTGCATTAGCATAGGGAACGTTTTGACGGTAACCATAATAGATTGTGCAGTTTTGGATGCAAACCGGACCCTCGAGCTTATTTCAAATTCTTCTAGATATTATTGTAGCATTACTTTTCACAACCACTAATGCTCTGTCAGCCAGTGCAAGTTACAGGTCATCATAAAAAAAAAAGAGAATAGACCTGATGTCGAAACTCATTGCTCGGGAGCTCCGGGACCAGTTGCAAATTGCTCAACGTAGCGTGAGCAGCACTAGGCGTGGTGAAGCCAGATCCAGAATCTGTTGAAGAAAGAGAAAGAGTAAACGTTCTTGTATCCTCCTTACTGTGTTTTCTTTCTCATTTTTTATGTTGAAAAAACATGTTAGGCAAATTATACATTATTGAAGAATATTTGTAACATACTAAAACATGTCTGGAGGGGCACTTTACATATGTATCGCTTTGAGGCATATGCTTATCTTGGCCCTAAGCATTCAGCAGTTGTGCTGGGATTTGAGTTGCATGGTTATGTAATCTGTATCACAAGGGGTGTGATGTTGTTTGGAGAGCAGGTTGAAGGTAAAGGCCTCTTTAATCCGGCGTTTTACATGGTTCAGTGTGTGTGTCTTGCTTCTTCAGTGATCTTGTGTCAAAGGAGGCGTGCTTTCATGAGGAAATAAGATGCATTAGAAGTGAGTAACATATCCATAGTGCAGTGTTATGTAAAAAATCCTAAATCTGGAAATGTATGGTGGCTTAGGGAACGTCCCTTTTACAGGCTATACAAAGCAACATATGCACTATGTTGTATCCAAGTTAAACCTTTAGGCCTTGCATAAGGAAGCCCCAGCATGCCTTCAAGCTGTTAAAGAGATGCCCCTCCTACAACTGTTTATCTTACACCCAAATTAATTATTGTTTATGTTGACAAAGAAGTCTAAAATAAATATCCACCCACTATTGTAACAATACTACAGCGCACGCTGCAGACAGCCTCTCCTTTTTCTCTCTATGAAAACCGGTTATATGTCAGTTACTGAATGTTAACCTCAAGCCATAGTAACAGTTTATCCTTATGAAGACATTTCTCTGTCCTGTTTGCACAAATGAAAATAATATATTATATAATTAGAACATATTGTTCTCTCAAGGAATTTCAGACTTTTCAATTAACAAGTTTTCCTGGTGTTCTTCTTTGTATCCTCTCCCCCTGTTGTACAAAACAGACAGGTAATCCAGTTAATCTGTAGATGGTAGAGAACATGACTCGGCAATCGTTCCCTGGAGCAAGCAGGCGTTTCAAGACAGCACAATCTGCACCAAACTTCCACACACTAAGAACTTATTTGGCACATAAACTCAGGGTATTGAGGAGAGCTAAACGTCAAACTGTAACTTTAACATTTTTAGTTTTACATGCCTTGTGCAAAGTCACTGCAGATGCCCATGTGCATTCTCAAACATGTAATCGAATGATAGGGAGATAAATAGTTTCATTAGTGACCCATAGTTACCTTTCCCCCGGACCTCACCCTCTCCACACAGCCCTGTTGCTGCAAGGCTTCCGTCACCATGGCAACCGTGACATCATCAGCGTGCCGGTGGTCAGGTTTTGTTCGAGAGAGGGAGTGAATGAAAAGAGGAAATGGAGGATAAAAAGAGAGGTTGCGAAGGAGGGAGGGGGTGGAAGTAAAACAGAGAGAGAGAGAGAGAGAGAGCTGTATTTTGAGCAGAGAGGATTTTGCTGGCGTCTGTGGGTACCCTTCGCTTCATTGCTGTATGTTACCAGGGCAACTGCATCATGTAGGCCCGCCTGCCTGCGATCCATCCCCTGTGTAGAGATGTCACAGATGAAGTCCAGGCCTCAGGACATATCTGCACCTCGGCCTCAGAGCCCCTTCTCTCCTCTCACTCCCTCTCCTCTGCCCTTACAGCGCCGCCTTCTTATCTGAGAGCTAATTGCAAATTCATTATCACCACATAGGGATTTGCGGAAAATGCATGAAGCAAACGCGGAATGTGTGAGAAATGAAATGAGAAGATCTCACTGGGTCTCAATCATCCCTCCATCATGCTCTGACTAAGCAACTGTATCTGTGGAGTGAAGTGCAAAGCAGCATCTCAAACAGGAAACACTCCTCACTTACTTGACGCAAGAAGGGAACAAAATAACCAGGATGTGACTTCCATCCTGTCAACGCAGTGGGATCTAAACACATACAGTATGCTTTAATGGTGATGGCTTTTATTTGGTTTGATGTCTGTTTAAAGAAAGGTGGGCGACATGTGGCAAAGATTTAAGGGCATGACTTCACATCACAACGCAGCGGCACTTTGTCTTTGTGAACTGAGCCAAAAATGATTTTACAGTAGAGTGGTGTAGATGAGAGACAGTCGACACTACCAGAGACTCTTGAAAACCATGACATCATTCTTTTCCCAACAGGTATAACACACACACTGTTTTCATCAAGAATCTCACATACATTTCAGTGTTAATTCACTTTAAATCATATTATCTACTCCCGCTCTTCTCTTATTATTTACTACGGGAACGGCCGAGCCCTGCTCAATGTTTTGTAATCGTTCCCCCGCTGAACTGGAGAGAATCATCCGTCGCTCCAGGAGGGAGAAGAATAGACAGTGCGTTTGGCAGGCTGCTGTTACCTGTCAGCCGCAACCTAATTATAGAGACAGACAACAATAAAACACAATGATTTCCATTCTCCCCTTTACCTAGACTGCTGACTGAACATCAGGACATACTTTGAAAACATTTTTGAACTGTCTGTATGCAATGAAAATAATTACATTTGGAAAACTCAACAGCAATAAATCTCGCCAAATATAATAATACTGGTACTCACAATATAGCACTGACCTTATTGTGAGTCTAATTGAAAGGCCAACTGGTAGTTATCTGTGCGAGTGGATAGACATGATTTATTGTGTAATTGGTATACTATTTGGTTATCCGAATTCCTTTTATTTGTCCCGCAGCGGGGACATTTACAGTGGTACAGCGACTGGCATGGCAGGTCCAAAGACATCCAATAATAAAGAGAAAGCTAACTTATGAAATATAGAGAACAAAAGCACACATTAGTAGTAATAGAATACAAATAAGTACACATCCATGGCTTAAAATGAGGAACGGCAATTAAAAAAAACGAAATGGCACAAGTGACTTGTACACATGTTTTTTTTTTAGATATGTGTCTACACAGCTTCGTGCATTTTTTAAGTGTTTCACTCCATACAGTCAACTCAATTTGACATTTTATACAAATTGTGTTTGGACGTTTGGTTCCTGTCTGGTGTTCTGATGTTGCCGTGGCGTCTGTGCTGTTGCCGTGGCGTCTGTGCTGTGTCTTCGGAGCAGTGTCTGGGCTGTTGAGAGCAGAGCGGGTGGCTAATGAATGACCTGTCAGAGGTAATGAGGTCCGGAGCGATGGATGCTTCATGGCTTCCTCCTCCCCACTCCACTGACTCACTGCCTCCATCACCTCTCCCCCTGTGGACAGACCGGAGGAATCTGTCTCCCTATTTCCCCAGCGCTGCACTAAATACTGTGTTCATACTTTCTGTATGTCGAAAGACTGAACAGCGACTGACGAAAGAAATACGAAAGATGAAACCTTAGCAATCTCTGACATTTATGGTCCTCGCTCTTTGCTCCCTGTGATTTCCATATCGTCAGCACTTGGACTATGCCCAGCTGTCCACGTTTCCTTTTTTTTTGATTTCATAACCACCACAAATCTTGCTCTTGCCATGTCACACATTCCTGTCTTTAAGGCTATGAGTCACCTAGCTGTCGGGCTACCAAACTGCATGTGCAGGCTCCACCCAGCCTCCCTTCCTGTGTGCACCTGGAATGTAAATATGGGAAAGGTGTGGCTCCACGAGCTGGTTTTGGGCTTCCTGATTTGCAATTCATAGCTTGTAGACCTTTCAGGAAGTCACATCTTGCATCCTGTTTTAATTTGCAAAAAGACACCATGTCCATTCATTTGTTTGTTTCAGTTCCTTTTTACACTTTGAATATAAGGGTAGAATATCTATTCACAAATTCAAAGAAACAATATGTAATATGTCTAAAATATCTACAAACATCTAAACCGATGTTATTTATTTAGCTGAATTGTGTACTTATTATCCCAATTATCCAAAGATCTGATGTTTTACTTGATTTCATTATGCTTGTTACAGAAAAAGAGCCGAGAAGAGAGCTGTGGTGAGGGCAGCGGGGTGGAGATCCTGGAGAATAAACCCTACACAGATGGGCCGGGTGGGACGGGCCAGTACACCCACAAAGTTTACCACATTGGCATGCACATTCCCAGCTGGTTCCGCTCCATATTGCCCAAAGCAGCACTGAGGGTGGAAGAGGAGTCCTGGAACGCCTACCCTTACACCCGCACCAGGTGAGCTTTTCAGGAACCTCCACACACCTCTTCAAAGCCGGAGTGAGAGAGCATTAAGACTCTGCCAACGCCAAGAAAATCTCTGTGCATGGGTGTCTGAATGCTGCAGCTGGTAGATTTCCACACACATTTTAAGACATACTTTCACACAAAATGACCATTATGTACATCAATTACTCATCCCATAATAATAATGCACTTTAATCCTCCCCTTGGGGAAATTACATTTTTCATTCTGTTGTTATTTCTGTAACCCACGCCAAGCCCTGGTGTCCTTTTGTTTTTCTCGCATGCTTCCACCTTGAACAAAGAACGAATAAATGGAGAAGTAAATGACGGGCACGTTTAACCACAGCAAAGCTATATCAAAACATCAGTTATCTCTCACACAACTCGTGCAGTATAGTTTCATTTGTATGCTCACTATTTCCGCAATACATGCATTTTCAGAACAAGCTTACTATTCCACATAAACAGCTTCTCATACGGACGAGTGTTTTAAAAAGTAAGTTTGAGCAGAAATGCATGTGTTTTGAAAGTAGCGAGCATCAAATGGATTAATGAGTCTGCGCAAGTTGTATGAGTGTTTAAAAACTAAAATATAGTTTTTGGGTGTTAAAAGTTTCCCCCATTTAGTTCAATTCATCTAGGCTTGTCTTTGTTTTGGATAATTAATTCAATGTGAAGGCATGCAAAAAAGGGGATAAAATTAAAGCACGCTTACATTCAGTTTATTACATATAAAATCCTCTGAGCGGTAAGAGGCTATGTGACACGAGTTCTACTGTAGCTGCTGTCGCTCAGTGAAATACAGATAAAGTAAAGACCTCAAGTTGTCTGAAGATTACTTCTAAAAAGACCTTCAGATTTCTGTGTGTGTCCAGCCTTGCTTACAGGCTGTTAGAAGTGGATGGCCCCTCACTCTCAGGGTGTCAGTGTTTGTCTGTGATGGTTCAGACAAACACACCGACAGGAAGGTGCTGAACAGAGATGCGCCCCTTGACTATCGTGTCAGGATATTGATAGACTGCAAGTGCCTGTTGACACATCTATTCAAACAGTGACAGCTTTGCCTCAGATACAACAGATGGGCATGGCTCACACATTTCCTACCCTCAGCAGTGAGAGGGTGTTGGCACTCGTAAAAAAAATAGTCCTGATCTTGAGCCATTGAGTTGAGAAGCAAGTGTCATAATCAAGGCAGCTATCAACCTATAATGTAATCAAGCCTTATTGGGACATTTGTTCTGTTGTGTTTTAATAGATTTAGTTGCCTCTGCTCTTTCAGATACACTTGCCCCTTTGTTGAGAAGTTCTCCATTGACATTGAGACCTACTACAAACCAGACACAGGCAACCAAGCCGATGTCTTCAACATGTCTGCAGTAGAAAGGAGGCAGAGGAGTATTGGTGAGACAGTTTGGTATTGATCCTGAACCTTTAACAATGACATAAACTCATATTTAAAAATATGAATTGATGTGTATCATGCTGCTTCAACTATCCACAAATAGCAATCTCAATATGTGTGCAGTATAGCTCTATTATAGAACCAGCAAAACAAGTAATGACCTTTTCTTGCAATAGCTATCTAAGGTGTCACGTTAGTAATGGTAGATTTAGTTTGATGATGTGTCTTTATATTGGTATTCCCATCAGGAGCAGGTGAAGCCCACTTGTGGCAATGTACTGGTACTACAAATGTTTTTCTGAAGATACTCAAAGGACAGCCAGATTCTATTTAGATTAGAATGTTTTATTCAGAACATTTATTTAAGTTGTACTACCCTATCTACCAGAATTTGTAGCATAATTGAGGCAATATAACTAAAATACCAGTCTCCATTAATCATTTCGTTTTGTATCTTTGCCAGACCCAATTGACATAGTGACAGATCCCATCCCCCCCCATGAGTACAAAGCAGAGGAGGACACACGGCTCTACAAATCAGCCAAGACCCAGAGGGGTCCTCTGCTGGACGACTGGATAGAAGAGTACAACAACAACCCAGGGATGAGCCCCATCATGTGTGCCTACAAACTCTGCAAGGTGGAGTTTCGCTACTGGGGCATGCAGTCAAAGATCGAGCGCTTCATCCATGATGTTGGTGAGTATGCAGGAGGGCTGCACCATTACTCAAATGTTAAGTGAACATAAACTGCAGTACTACTGTTTAATTTCCGTGCTCCACCTACAGAACATCTGTCATTAAAATAATCTTTCCTGAATGTTGTGGCTGTAGTTCAGAGTAAAATGTTCTGGTACATTTGATTTTATATTTGGCTTCTATGAGATGCTCACTGAATAGGGACTAATCTTGTTTTTAAATACATATACATTATATTATATTATTATACTCCTTGGGAATGTTTCTGGACACTCATAAGTGATACAGAGACAGAAAGAAGAATACATAACCAAACAAATAAAATAGTACAATTATAAAAGCCTTTGGAAAATAATGACAATATTTACACAAAATATAGTTATGTAGGAAACGGAGTGCAGTGTAACGCCAGTATTCTACTGTTTAAACCCAAACGTTTGTATTACAAAAGAAAGAAAAAGCAGGTGTCTAATCTTTTCCGTCTCTTCTCCCCAGGACTGAGGAAGGTGATGGCGCGCGCCCACCGGCAGGCCTGGTGCTGGCAGGACGAGTGGTACGGTCTGACGATGGAGGACATCCGGCAGCTGGAGCTGGAGACACAGCTGGCCCTCGCCACCAAGATGGCCCAGTTCAGTCAGGCTGAGGAGGCCGCCGAGGCCAACGGGGGGGCGCCGTCTCCAGACAAAGAGCAGGAGGCTAAAGAGGCCATCAGCTCCATCGAAGCGGAGGAGGTGGTGGTGAGCTCAGGAGGAGAGACTCTGCAGCCCCGAGGCGTTCTCACCAAGCAGTGGTCCACTTCCTCCAGATCCTCCCGCTCATCCAAGAGAGGAGGTGAGGCCATCTTCTTTTCTCACTTCTGTGTGTGAGACTACACAGTCCTGAGACATTATCACATTTAAAATCACACCTTTTATATGTTCAGTCTGCCACCCGACTCCTTTCCAACTTAAAGGTTGAGGTATGCTCACAACAAAGTCAAACAGTTCCTTCAGAAAACACAGAAAGTTGTGATGTTTGAGTCCACGCTGGCAGCCGGTATGTGAAGAATTCAACAGGGTTGATTTTTTTGTTTGTATGATTTGTTTTTTATGTGTCATTGTTCCATGTAGTAAATTGCTAATCCTCACAAAATTAGAAAGTTTTTAGTATCAAACACTCACTCTCCTATAAGCTTGAATTAATGTGTGTTACAATGGATTCCTATGGCAACATATTTTGCTAAACCATATACAGTCTATTGTCTAAACTCTTGGCACCATAAAAAAAGTGAATTGACATTAGTTGGGTTGATTGGTTCATCTTTTCCAAAGGACAGCAGATATTCTTTAAAGATATAAACAGTCTAGTAAGAAATGCCATGGCAACCTGAACATTTCTCATTATTTTTCAAACGCTTAACTTTTACGATGGACAACCACATCTATTTTGTCTTCTGTGGTTCAGCTTGTATACACACTGAAGCTGCTCCCAAGTGTGTATACAACACTTGGGAGCCCAATAAAGAGCTCTGATTTGTTGTTCAAACACCTCAGGACTCGGGATCAGCTTCTTAGTTTGTAGTCTCTGCTCGTATGCCTAGCTTTGCTTTGTGTCCAGAACGTGATGTTTTTACTGTTTTGAATGATGCCTCCACATTTGCCGTACTCTCCGACTTACCTCGCCTCAACCCAGAACTCAGCGGATCTCACCTGGGTTATTTTTAGCAGCAACTTTGACATCACAAACCACATGTCCGAATCACAGCCATCTCTAGTGTCACCCCTACCTCCCTGACTCTCCTCCAGCGTGCCTCGTTTCACCCCTGTGCAAATACTCCAGTACTGTACTTTAGTGCACATTTTAGGTGCTTTTTGTTACCGTTTTTTGCTACCTAATACTAAATATGTTACTTTATACTCCACTACATGTATTACATAACTGAGGTCAATTTAAAGATGCAGATAAATGATACAAAATATAATTCATAAGTAATTGATCAAGTTTTATTACAGAATTTACTTTATTCCCTGGTGGAATTCACAAGCTACTCTAAACGATATATACTAACAAATCAAATAATGACGACATTTGAAATTCTATTTGAATACAAGATCCTTATTGACCAGCTCAAACATTACAGTGATGGATAATTATTCATAACAATTATTCTAATTTGTAGTATTGTTATATAGGCCGTTGCACACCGAGTGCTACTTTTTGTACTTTAAGTAAATGGTGATGCTAATGCACTTGTTTTTAATAAAGGACTATTTACTTTTAATAGATTTCTCCCTGCACCCTGACTCTCCTCATCGCGCCTCGTTTCACCCCTGTGGTTCTCTCGGGCTATTTTTAGCAGCAGTGCTGACGTCACACACCAGAGGAGGCTGACGCTCTTCGCAGTGACCCTCCTCTCCAACACTGCTGTTTCCTCCTGTGCGCTGACAGCCACAGCTGTGCCCCCCTCTCACCAGCCTGCCCCTTACAGCGATACCCCCCCCCTACTTCCTCCACACCCATAATATATAAGGCATAGACTGAAGACATGTGATAGACACTGCCTTCTTTTAGAATTGGCATTTTCCTCAACTGGCATTTGGTGGTTTTAGGGGTGTTTGCAGCTTGTCTGTGTTACAATGGGTCTCTTGTTTCACCCCCCCTGACCACCAAAAAGTCCATCTGTGATGAGCTAATGCACCACTGAGACTGTTGCATGTTTATATAACACTGTGGGTGTGTGGGCTGGAGGAGATTGTGCAATGTTTCTTTGTGTGTGTTTGAGTGAATGTGTTAAAAGGGAAAAGAGAGAAGCTGAAACACATGTCCCAGAGTAACAGTGATTTTTTCTTTTTCTTCATGTGGTCTTTCAGTGAGCCCATCACGTCACAGCATCTCAGAGTGGAGGATGCAGAGCATAGCGCGAGACTCCGAAGAAAGCTCGGACGAGGAGTTCTTCGACGCTCATGGTAACAACAGTTCTCATTTAGTTTTGGGGTCGATAGTTAGACCAGCAGCGTTGTGCTTAATGTGTTCAGTTTTCAAAGAAGCTGCTTTTTTTTCCCTCCTCTGACTCTGCATGCATCTCTTTAACCACAGATCAGTTCTTAAGCTTCCCAGATACCCAGCATGCTTTGGGGCTGCAGTTGAAATAGGTGGGTGTGGTGCGACACCCCTGCTCTCTGCCGGATGACACGGGCCGGGTGTCTCATCCTGACGTCCAGTTCAGAATCACAATCGTCCTTGCCCTGTGTCTCCCTCTCACCAACACACTCCCGTTTCTTCATCATCGTTCACACACAGACACACACACACGTTCCCTAACAGTTCATGATACATTCAAACAATAAAAGCCCCCCCCCCCCCCCCCCCCCCCCCTACCAGTGTTTGTACAAACATTTAGTCATGATGATACAAGAATAAAATCTGTGCTGTCAGTTATTATATTGCTTCTGATTATGCTGCACATGTTTTGTTGAATACATTTCTGCTCATGTCTTTGTGAGTAACTGAAATTCAATCATTTGACTGAGTGGTGTTGACATCTGATCATTTATTTTGCCTTCCAGTATTTGTGTTTGTTTGGATTAATTATCGTGTGTTGGGGGCCTGAAGTAAAAGCACCTTACATTTGATCAAACGAGCATATATATAAAAGTCTGGACTAAAGTCATGACTGTGATAAATGAGTACATTTTTCCTATTTTAAAGTTGATTTATGGTCCTCTTCCTCCTGCAGTGATGCTATATTACACAACTTGTAAAGTAGGTTTCTTTATTTGTTTTTAGTGCAAATGAATAAATGAAATCTTCAGGAGTAGATGCCATATTCAGTGTGTCTGGTTTTCTGAAGCTTAGTACTTATACCCCAACAAAGAAAGTATCTGTTACATGTACACATGTCATAATCAAACGGCTGCACAACTTTCAAATCAAGCTGGCCTATATTGTTATTTATTGATTATTGAAAGTGAATCCATTTAATGAAATAGAAATACCTCAATGCCTTCACACTTTATATCTTATCCAGTTTATAACCAGGTTGATATTCATGTTTTATAAATAAACTAAAAAGTCTTGTTGATCTGTGTACAGGACAATATGCTTCATAGAAAGTCAAACATTTAATAACAGAAGTCGTCTGGCTGCAAGTCTCTATGCAATAAAATGATTTTCTATTTCTTTTGTGTTATTTATTTGTAGTATTTCTACAGTGGGAGTAAATAGCATGACATGACATTCATACATTCAGTTTCAGATTAGATTTTGAATCTATTAACACAGATTTAAGTTAAGAGGAGGCTGGCTGCCTGTTTCTTTCTAAATGAATCTACTGGCATTTAATTCAATACAATATAAAATGATACGCTAAGATCCTAAGCCTTTTTAATGAACACATAAATGGTAGTGAATGGATAAAACAGTCCAGTCATATATTTGTGTAAATCTGAATTATAAACACTAGATTAAACTTCTGCTCGGTAGGTAATTGCTTAGAAGATACGTTTGTTTTTTAAACTTGCATTATGGTTATTAAACCACACCACTTCTGGGCCACTGACACCAAAATAACATGGGCTTACTTGCCATGGATAACCATCAGTGTTATACTTTATACATTAAAATACCAAGCGTAACTTTCATTTGCATTACATCAAATATTTATAAATATCTATTGATTTAATTAATAAAACACTCTGTGAAAGCTTAGCAAGTTTCCTGTTCGTTGGTCCTCTGTTTAAAAGTCAAACTAAAAAGTCAATCGACCATGTTAACCCTGATGAATAAATGATACTGTTGGTGTACTGACAACGATTTGATGATGGTTTGTGTTGTGTCGCCCCTGCAGAGGATCTGTCAGACAACGAAGACGCCCTGCCGAAGGAAATCACCAAGTGGAACTCCAACGACCTCATGGACAAGATTGAAGCTGCAGACACAGAGGAAACTCCTGGTACGATGAAGACCTTGTGCACTTCATCATGGGAAGTCACTCTGCCTCTGTACTAGATGTTAAGAATGTGTGTGTTTGCAGGTGAGCTGTTCAAGGAAATGACAGTGGATTATGAAAGAGCAACCAGTGAGGAAAGACTAGACGAGGTACGTGTGTCTGAAAAAACACCAAGCCACTAACCACAACCAGCAGAATCATCTCTGAAATAGATTTGCTGTTGACAAATCCACAGAAAATGCCTTTCATCACCTGAAAGCTTCTGCTAAACTTTTATTAAACAGTAGTGGAAACTAACAAATACAAATACTCCAGTATTGTAATTTAGTACAATTTGAGGTACCTTTTTCTGCTACCTAATACTAAATATTTTACTTTGAACTCCACTACATGTTTTTCATAACTTAGGTTAATTTAAAAAGATTCAGATAAATGATACAAAATACTATTAACAAATACGTTATCACGTACTTTACAGGTTAATCTCGCTTTCAGATTTACAGATTTATCTCGATTTCTTGGTGAAATTCACATGCTCTCCGAAGGATATATATTTAAAAAAACAATAAATGGACATAAAGACATAATTAATGAATACCTAAAGGTCCCATGTCATGCTTTTCTGGTTATTACCCATCCCCTTGTGTGTTATGAAGGTTTGTATGCATGTAAACGGTCTGCAGAGTCACAAACCCTCAAAGTACACCCTGTAGCGAGTAAAACTCTAACACAGAAAAGACCTGTCTATGCTGCCCCAGAACGCCTCGTTGGAGATTTCTCTTTTTCCATTGTTTACTTCTTGGGTATAGTGACGTATTTCAGGTATAGTTACGTTACGTCCACGGAGCCGTTACGTTTGGACCAATCCGCGGACTTTCTCACACACACACACACACACACACACTCTGCGGGACGTTGCGAGGCTCGCTGCTGTGAGGAGCGGGACACTGTGAGCTGGCTCACTGGTGTGGGGTCGGCGAGACACCGAGACACCGCGGAACTCAGCCTGGGCACACACACAAACTCCCAGCCAGGCTGCAGGGTGTGTGTGTTTCGGGCTAGGTTTCGCTGTGTCTCGCTGTCTCTCTGTCTCGCAGGCGGCCACTGGGCTCACAGGGAGGGGGGGGGGGGCAGGAGCTCCAACAAGCTGTTTAGGACAGAGAGTGAATACACATACTACTGTATACAGAGATGCTGTATGAGAAACCAATGTGGGTTTGGAAAATTGCACAATATAAATGTATTTTAGTATACCTCAACAATGGAATTATGATCAGTAGAAATGGCCATGACATGGGACCTTTAAGGGGAAAGGCAATTTTAAATAAGCACCCTTTTTGTTAACTGTAAAATGGAAGTGATAAAGAACTATTCATAAAAATAAAAATGAGTTATTATAATTGTTATTATAAAATAACATTTTTAAGCTAATGATTTGCACTTAAAAATAGTTTTAATAAAGGATATTTACTTGTAATAGATTTCTATACTGTGGTATTGCTACTTTTACTAAAGTGAAGATCTGAGATGGTCCACCTCTGATCCCTGGAGTGTCAGGTTTCACAGTTTGGGAGGAGAAGGCTGTTTGTCCCTGAGCCTCTCTGTCCTCTTGTGTTCAGATGCGTGGCTCTGTTAGCGGCCAAGCCAGTAGCTCTCCCATTCCCACCATCACGGTAACAAGGCACCAGTCAGTAAGTAAACCTTATGCAAACCAGTGCATTGTGGGCTACAGTAGCTCCACATAGCCCCCCCTGATCAAACCCAATACTTACTACCCCTGCCCTTTCCAAAACCCAAATCCGTGTTTCCTCCTCAACCTCACCACGTCTGTTCAACCTCAGTTCTCGCAGCTGTGGCGTTGAGTGTGCATAAAGTGCTTCTTTGAAAAAAGTTTTGTATCAGACTTAGAAGACAAAACTGCACATTATGTTGTTGTGTTTAATGTGACTTCCTCAGGAAACGTTGTCGTTGTTGTTTGCCGTTAGTTGAACAGTGGAGGTTGGATCTGTTCTGTTTCCCTTCATGGCTCTCCGCCCCTCTCTCGTGAAAAGACATTTGGTTTGCACTTTCTAAGACGCCCATGTCTATAAGGCATTATAAACAAACTTATAATGTCTTATCTGCTTATGAAACTATCATTTTAGTTTTAAGCACTCATTACTGTTCATAATGCTTTATAACAAACAAAAAAACATGATACACTTATCATGAAGCAATAACACCTCTTAAGTATTATAATACATCATAATTGCTGGGCATTTTAGATGAAATTATTATTTTTCCACTGTACTTAAATCCACTAAAAGTGAGTTATAATCACATTATGATGCATTATATCTGCCCTTATAGCTCAAGAGTTGTATTACTCAACCCAGAGCACTATTGATCATTCAGGGTAAAATAAATCACATTATAATGCATAACAAAATTCATTAAATGTATTACAATTATCTTTAAAAATAACTAATATACAAAAGAAATAGGTCAATAAGTGACACTTCGAAATTAATATGATACTTGACCTTATAAGTCACTATTAAAGGTGGGGTAGGTAAGTTTGAGAAACCGGCTCGAGATACACTTTTTGTTATATTCCATGGAATGCTCTTAACATCCCGATAGCAATGAATATCTTAAGTGCTTTGACAACAAATCCATTAAAAAGTGTCATCTGTGGAAGCCGTAGTACTGTAAAAAGCACGACCAATCATTTTAGTCGGCCCGGCTAAAATAACTGGATGGCCTACCTGCCTGTCAGCCTTCCATCTGTGCACAAACTTATCTCGTGCCCTCATTGGTCATGTGCGCGTTCGTGTGTGTTGGAGGAGGGGCTCTGTAAGGAAGTGGCAGATTTTCTCCGGTTGTGTATTTTCAAATTCTAGCGATCTCGAGCCGGTTTCTCAAACTTACCTACCCCACCTTTAAGTGCTTATAATGTGTTGTGATTATAGGTAAATAGCATTTAAACTATAGTTTTAAAGTGCTATATGCAGATTATAACACATACTAAGTATGTCTATAATGCATTAAAGACATGGGCAACATAGAAAGTGTTACTAAAGTGTGTGCCAACATTTTGTTGTGTGGTTGACTCACAAATCTGACAAAATATTATAATTGTATGTACAATAGCTAAGGTATTAATGTTTATCTGTGACTGTTCCCTCTCAGTAAGCATGTTGTCTTTGGTTATGCCAATAAAAAGACGTTTTCATAAGTAAATATATTATTTATTAAAGATTCTCCGAGAGCTCTTCCTCCTTATCCCATCCATCACCCTTTATTATTCTTCTGTTCCCAGGAGAGCTCGTCAGCACAGTGTCTGCAGCCTTCCAAGATCCACGTGCTGATCCTGGTTCTGCACGGAGGAAACATCCTGGATACGGGCGGAGGCGACCAGAACAGCAAGCAGGCCGACGTCAACACCATCAGCACGGCGTTCGAGGCGGTGATGCGCGTTCACTACCCCGCTGCGCTGGGACGCATCGCTATCCGCCTGGTGCCCTGCCCGGCCATCTGCGCCGAGGCCTTCTCCCTGGTGTCCAAGTAAGAGGGTGCACACGCACGTATTTCTGCAAGCTACAGGCATGCTGGATAGCCATTGTTGTTATTGACTGTGAGTGCTGTTTGCTTTTGATGGAAAAGATCCAGGTGCAGCTCAAAACCGTAGCTCCGTCCTCCTGTGTTTTTGCTCTTCACACTCTTATGAAAAGTGCTATACAAATAAAGCTTTATTATTATTCATTTTAAGATCCATGCAGTGCACATACACCTGGTGCAGCTCAAAGTGCTTTAACAACAAGGCACACATCACAAATTAAAACAGAACAAGAATTTCACATCAGGTCAGAGACTAAAACCTTTGTGCACATATGCAGCATAACAACATGATATGACAGTTTAACCGTATAAGAGACACAGGAAGTAAAAGGTAGGATAGTAAAAAATGAAACACAAAAAATATATAATAATCCCTCTCGGTAAAATAAAGGAAGACAAAATCAATAAATGAAATAAAATATAAAAACCTATCAAATAAATAAATAAACCAATAAATAAATAATAAAAATAAATAAATAATGAGAATGATAAAGGCTAAAATATTAAAAGACTTTCAACTTAAAAAGCGATTGTTGCTTATAAAACTGTAAAATAAACAATACAAGTCAAATGTAAAAATTGAATAAAATATTATGAATAATAAAGATTAACAGAAGGGGGTGTCTCTAATAAAAAGCTAATCTAAAAAGATGTGTCTTTAGCTGTTGTTTATAAAGTTCCACTGAGTTGGCCTCTCTGATATGTTCTGGTAGGCTGTTCCATAGTTGATCCACAAATGTGTTCATGACTTCTTGTGCGGTTAGAAAAGTGTCAAAAGAACTATAATTTCACGGGAAGACTAGGGGTAGAGGAATGTGAGCATTTGGTTAGGGATATTGCCAAATATCTGGAATAAACTATCAGAAACCAACAGGTCCGCTGCTCTTACTACTTTTAAATCCAGGCTGAAGACTTTTAATTGAACTATTCACATCTCACACTGCACTGTAACGTTTATTCATGTACCTGTGTTATTCATGTTTTATTATCTTTGCTTTTTAAAGGTCACCTATTTTGCAAAATCCACTTTTTCATACATCAACATGTGTCCCCTCTGTGTAAAGAGATTCTGAAAGTTTCAGGAAAAAAGATTCTCTCTCTTTTTGTCCTGATCCATTTATATAAAAACCTGTCTGAAAATTAGCTGATCAGATTTTGGCCAATTTATGATGTCATAACGATTTGTTGGCTTGTGTAACCATTAGCCAATCACCAACCAAGGTAACCCCCCCCCACCTTATCACCTGAATCTCCTCCAAGAGCACCATTGTGTTCTTTTTAACCAAATATCTCTCAGAGGGGCGTGGGGAGTGGCTCCTTATTTTCATCTAAAGTAACAGACACAGAATCAGCACTTTTGAAACAGGGCTGAAACAGAGGGGATTATGGGATGCTGCAATGATCTGTTTGGTGTTTGGAGCCAAACACTTCAGAGATATGTTTGTATATATCTGAGACCTATAATATATTGATGAAAAACAGTATAATAGGGGACCTTTAAAGTTTCTAATGTGTTTTATGCTCTTCATGTCTTTCATTTTTGGAAAGCACTTTAAATTGCCTTGTGTTGAAAAGTGCTATAAATAAATATGTCCTTGCCTTGCGTGTTCTGCTGCAGCCTGAGCCCATACAGCTACGATGAGGGCTGTCTGTCCAGCAGCCAGGACCACATCCCACTGGCAGCGCTCCCCCTCCTCGCCACCTCCGCCCCGCAGTACCAGGACGCCATGGCCACCGTCATCGTCAGGGCCAACCAGGTGTACTCAGACTTCTTAAAGTCTCTGGAAGGGGCAGCCTTCTCCGGCCAGGTCAGTCCCCGAAGATACCTGGGTCACATTTCAACTTCAGTGTACATATGTAGTTAAATCGTGTTACAGAGTGGTCCGTCTTTTTTTTTTTTCTTAACAAAACAACAACAATAAGCACACAAGAACATGGGGTGTTTTATTTTCAATATAAAACATTGACAGTATAGATCATTAAATAAAAGATTCAAACAGTTAAGCAAAAGAAGGGCGTATCGGGCTAATATACACTTTCCATTTCTCCAAAATGTCCTTAAATGTAAGTTCCTGGAGCCTCAGAAGGTTATTCTTTCCATTACAAAGATTTCATAAATGATATCGTACCAATCATCTATACAGATGTAGATGGGCTGTTTGGTTTGAGCCATTTCTTTGTGATTGCTTTCGTGGCAGCTACACTCAACATCCCAAATAAGTATGTCGTTTTAATATTTGTGGATGTTGAGTGCAGAAACCTGGGTCATATTTGTTCAGTTATTGATTTATTTTATTCATAGGTTACCAGATATAGACACACAAATCCAAAATAAAACAGGTTAAAGTAGGGCTGCACGATATATCGTGTCGTGACGATAATCGCGATATGCGCATGCGTGATATTCACATCGCAGGACGTGCGATTTTAAGTAGGCAAATTAACTCAAACACGTCATGTTACAATTATTTTTGCTGCTTGCTACAAAAGGAAAACTTGCGCGGCTCTCATGTCAGGGGTACTTGAGTGAGTGACATGCAGGCTCTGCATGCACAGCAAACCACCAATCACAATCAAATCTCCAAAGCAAACGGACCCGGTGATTAAAGGTAAAAACACTGAATAAAGTAGTTTCATGTGTTTCTCCAAGGCAGTTCGGCGCTGCTAACCGAGCTAGCTCAGCTTGTTGCTCTGATAACTTAAGATCCAGACATCCGTGACTAAAATCCTTCATCCGGTTAAATATAGAAAAATACCAATTGTATAGCATTAAAGTTCAAGAAAGGATGGTTTTCGGACAAAAAAAAACGTCTTTTCTTCAATTCCTATATTTTTTCTTATCGCAATATATATCGCAGGGAAGAAAAAATCGCAATGTCAGTTTTTTCCAATATCGTGCAGCCCTAGGTTAAAGTGAAAACATTCATTTCAAACATGGTCACAGATGTTAGAAGAAACAAGAAGCACAGGATTTTCAAACAAAAACTAAACAAAGACACCTTCAATAAAAATGTAATTGCATATTTCATTGCCAATCTCACAAACTTGTCCATAAAATAGTCCTAAAACAACCTTAAGCCACTCTAATCATCGATGCTCTTCCACAGAGCGGTGTGGTAACCTCTGAAAACATTTTTCATGAACTCACACTGGCCTTGATATTATAATTATGCCATTGTTATCTGTCAACACAAATATTGAGGATAATACTGGTTAATAATAATATTGCTAATATGCCACGTTATCATAACTTCTGTTTGTAATAGTTTTGAAAGAAATGTATACGTATTTACAGTATCACAGCTGAGCCTGCTCTTTAATTTTGTACCAGTTGTTAAGGAATAATTCTTCTAGATATCTAACCTTTTGCTCTGTGACGTTTTATGATCTTCTCTGACGTCTGTTATCTCCTTTAAGGAAAGGCATTGGTGCCATATGTGTTGTTGTTACCAGTTTGTGACCGGTCAACTTGTCTGGCACGAATGGTACTTGTTGTGAGAACGCTGAGGCACTTCTTTATCGGTGTTTGTGGACTCTAAGATGTGAAATCTTTGAGGCCATGAGTGTCGGACGCAAGTGGTTCAGTGTTCCCAGCTGTTTAGTCTACTCCTTCAGAGATGTTGATTACTCTCTGTGAACCAGTTAAAAGGTCTAGCATAGAGAGAGGCTCTTCAGAATTGACGTGGCAACTCTACCGTGAAGTCAGAACCTCTGACTCTTTGACTTGTGATGTGAATCCTCCGGCCGATACTCTGAATAAACCCATCAGTGTTTGACATCAAAAGCTCCAACTCTCACCGTGTCTCCTTCCTGAGTCGGTGACTCCCAATGCATTGCTACACAGAAGTTTCCCCCACACCAGTTATATCTAAATATTAAAACACCTTGTTAATTGACTCTCCACATAATGGTATACACACATATTACAACAAATGCCAACATAAGAAAGATTCTTCCTAAGTTTACATTTTGTTATGTGTACTTCCTTGAATGTGTTTTATTATCAGCATACTCGCTTTTGTTTGGGTTATTAAACTGTGTTTGAGTATATGTGTATTTTAGGCAAACCTAAACCCTTTGGCTGTGTTTTAAAAATATAACTATTGTTTTATTAATTCTTTGTTTGACCTTTGGCCCCTCTAGGTTTGCCTGATTGGAGACTGTGTGGGAGGGATCTTGGGTTTTGATGCACTTTGCAGCAGCAACCAGACGGTGAACGAGAGCCAGAACAGCAGCCGCAGGGGCAGCCTCGTCAGTGTGCAGGTAGCAGACCACTGACATTAATAACTAAATATCATGATCACAGAAATTCAATTTGTAATTCCCTCTAAAAATATGCCCTGCCTTTTATTTTCCTGCAACAACAAAAACAATTAGGGTGACCACACTACCGGCAACAGGACACTCAATTTCCATGACAAAAGATCTTATTATGAAGGATACAGTGTTTTTGTCTTCTTCATGTATTTTTAAATCTTGCTAAGGCAAACATTTCCTAATTAACGAGTCAACTCAGTTTGTAACCTTCCGACAACCAAAACTTATTTTAGTACCTCATCTGAATTTTTCAACCAAATCATTTCTTAAGTCACTGTACATGGAGCGATGGATCATCAAAACACTTACAACTTTATGTTTAACTATAATTTGTATAATGTTTTGCCAAGATGTAACATACATTTCAGACTTTCTTTTTAAATGTGATAAACGTATATAACTAATGTCCCTGAATCCCCCTCCAGGACCAGGACCTCCTCTCTCCCGGCATCATTGTGAACAGCGTGCACGGCTCGGCCTCTCCCACCCTGGAGGGCAGCCGCCACCTGAGCCGGAGCAACATCGACATCCCTCGGTCCAGCTCAGGAGACGACGCCAAGAGACAACTGCCCCGTAAGAGGAGCGACTCCTCCACCTACGAGCTGGACACCATAAAACAGCACCAGGCCTTCCTCACCAGGTGTGTTGAGTGTGGGGAGACCAAAATCCAGGACAATTCAAAAGTTTGACATTACGAATACCCTGGCCACAATCATATTTTTAAGTGAACATTGTTTATGTGATAGTCATGCAATCCAAAATACGTTAGTTATTTATCATAAGGGGGTTCTGCATTAAATTAACATTCAAATAATAAAATAGCTACTGTGTTATTCTCATCTTTCTCACATAATAATTCTTGTTTTTTTGTATTCACCTCACCATGATAGCAAGCTCAAAGTATTCCAGATCATTCTGATAATGGAAATTCCCAATGATCGACTTATTGTGGTCTCAATCAAATCCTCTATCCCTAACCCTGGGAGATAACCGTGACCTTGTTTTACACGCTCTCTGAGTCTGGTTTATTTTTATTTCAACACGAGGAAATGACTTTGTGCTGTCCTTCCAGCTTACACTCCAGTGTTCTGCGGAGCGATGCGGTGTCACGCAGGTCGAGCAGCAGCACGATGCTGGATGGAAGCTCTCTGGGGAGGTTCGACTTCGAGGTGTCCGACTTTTTCCTGTTCGGCTCTCCACTGGGTTTGGTCCTCGCCCTGAGGAAGACCGTCATTCCTATGCTGGATGGTAAGCTAATTAAGTCAATCTTATGTTATCAATCATGGCAAAACATATAATATTTCGACACATTATTGCAATAATACAAAATGACTTCGCTTTTTAAAGAACTTACCTTAGTGCTAATCGTATGTCTGGTTGCCATTACCATTATTTAAAAGCTAGATATCCCGTATTATGTTCTCAGAGACGATATTTATTATTTTATTATTTATTTGTTTATTCCACACATTATTTTAAATCAAAACATGTACACTTTACAAAACATGTACACTTATACTGTTTTTTTTTTTTATAGCGCATGGTGGAAAGGAGCAGGGAGAAGAACATATTTTTTTACCTGCCCCTTCTTACAAAAAAATTAAAATGAAATAACCATTCAAAAGTAAAATAAAAGCAATATTCTTTCAGTCACAGTTGCTTACAAATACTGAAACATAAAACCAGAACACACTCAAAAGTCAACTTCATACTGTCTAATTACGCAATTTTAAACATAAAAATGTGAGTGGGATGGGTCCTTAGATTGTTCCCCTCTCCTCGCTCATATTTCCGGCTCTGTGTCTCCCCCTAGTGGCCCAGCTGCGGCCCGCCTGTCAGCAGGTCTACAACCTGTTCCACCCGGCGGATCCTTCGGCCTCCCGCCTGGAGCCTCTGCTGGAGAGGAAGTTCCACCTGCTGCCTCCCTTCAACGTGCCCCGCTACCAACGCTTCCCCCTGGGAGACGGAAACTCTGCCCTCCTGGGTGAGCCTCTGCACCCACAGCGTCTAAAAGCCTCAGTCAAATCTATTCAGTAGATATCCAGTCTCTGATCTACAGTCGATTCATTTAGTGCTCAATTTTTTTTCCCATGCACAGACATGAATGCGAAATGACACTGTATTGAAATAACTTTTCCTTTTTAACTTAAAGGGGACCTATCATGCAAAATGCACTTTTGTACGTCTTTTATACATGAATATGTGTCCCCGGTGTTCCAGGGAACTCACGAAGTGTCAGAAAACACAACCCTCTCTATTTTCCTCCATACCCAAATCTCTAAAAAAGGGGCTGCAACGGATCTGATACAGACTGATCCAGATTTGAACACTGTCCTGACGTCAGGACGGTGGCGCTACGGCTATTGGGCCAACTCCACCAATCAGGAGGAGACAACCACGGCATTGCCGTTCGAAAGCGCTGGAGACGTTGTAGTACATATGCCAGGCCTGTAGATGGTGCTGTTGCTCACAGAATCAACCCTTGCTAAAACAGAGCTAACATTTTTCAAATTGAGCGAAATGAGGCATGGCTAAAATGCATGATCTGTTTGGTATTTTGAAAAAGAAAAAGTATAAATATGCCTTATATAGGTATGGTCCTACACTATATTATTATAATATAGCATGATAGGTCCACTTTAAAAGATCATATCCGCTGACACATGGAAATGATCGTAACACACTGTCCCGTTTCCCAGGGGTTCTTGCTACTGCAAACACATGCATTAAAGACATCGTAGCTGCTCACTCTCCCTTCAGACACATTGTCTCAAAGAAATGAAGCATTTTTCTACTGTTTGTGCTTCAACATGTTTTACAAAGCAGTTAATGATCTAAATGGGGTCAAAGTCCTGCTAGGAGTTTCTGTTTGGACACTGTGGAGTAACGCCTTACAGCCTCACCCTTTTATACAAATATCTGTCTATTTGTCCTGCAGAAAGTGTACACAGAAATGTGTGAAGTAAATATTTAGATGAGGATTCTTCTTCCTAGGTCTAAACACATAGCTTCCAACACAAAACTAGGCTTGGTAAGGAACCACATTAGGGTTTATAAGCTGTTCAAAAAAGACAATATTTATTTTCTTCTATCCTAACGGTAACCACTCTTGTATAATTTATTAACAATGTTTTCAGAACAGATCTACAGCCTATGGTACGGATAAAGTTTTATAGACAATAATATTTTGTGCCAAAGGTATTATGACGAGTGTTTTATCATGACGTTATGTGTCTGACTAGCAGTGTCAAAAGAAATGGGCTCGACTCTGCTTTCTTGTCTCACGTTTAGTTGTTCTTGCTTCATAAGTTTTTGTGTCTTCCTTGTCTCTTTTTTCCCTCCTTCTCTCTCTCGGCCTTTTGTCCCCCATATCTGTACGTCACTCTCTACCTCCAACCCCCCCTCCTTCTGCCCCTCAACCCCCCCCCCCCTCTGTAGTGGAGACAGTCCAGAGCAACGCTCAGCTGCTGCTTGACAGCGGGCCTCCCTTGTTGTCCCTTCGCTGTCAGGAGACCATCAGTGAGACCTGCATCCCTGTGCCGATGCTAAACTGGCAGGAGGGCTGCCTCAAAGCCACACCCGCCACTATGGAGTGTGTGTAGCCTCTCCCATTCACCTGCATCTGTCCCTGTCCCCCCCCCCCGTTCACTGCGTCTCCCTGTCTGTCTGTACCCACCGTCCTGCTGTCTCGTCCAGCTGAAATGCTCAGATTTAAACCTCAGTATCAGAATCCGAATATCTTTATTGTCACCATACAGAGGTATAACGGAATTGGCATCTCTCACTGCAGAAATAGAAGTAGACACAAATAAAGGCAGTGATATAAGCAGAGGTAGCAGCAATGACAATGCACCTCAATGAGAAGGCAATAAGATGAAATGACATGTACATATTTCAGTCAGACAACTCACGTGTTCTTAATATGTTTATTATAAGCAGCATATAGTTTGAGTTTGGCGTCTAGGCTCGGGCCTCATCACTCCACAGATTTACAAAGAACATTGAGTGATGATTAGATAACTTATCCCCCGAGCCTACAGGAGGAAGCTGGGGTGGGAGCTGGGGTGGTGGTGGGGCAGGCAAGCAGCAGCAACATGAAACACAGCAGCAGGAACATGAACGCAGCAATAGCAAGTGAACACAGCAGTGGCAGCAGCAGCATAGCGCGAGGCAGAGGCAGGAAGACCTGGCAGCTTAAATAGAGCGGCATGTTTAGGAGAATGTGTTTGGTTGGTTGTAAGAGGGACGAGGTGCGTCACGTGTTAATGTATCATTGGTGCTCGAGTTGACTGCCTGAACTACCTCGCAGGCTTCGCCCCATTTACACATTTTACGGCCCTTGTCCCTACTGGGTATTCCCACTGCTGTTGTTTCAAGAGCTGCAGTCGAGTTTCAGATTCATCACTGATAGACATTTGTATTAACTGTACACTACCTTTCCCTGTACAGTGCCCTCTTACAGTGTTCACGTTTACCTGGTTCAAATTAAGTACAATGAGTGCATGATTATAATGACCAATTTTATTTACATTTTTGTTACCTTCTAATTTTGTTTATATATAAAATGAGTATTATTATTGAAACAATGATGGAAATACTTTTAAAAGTATTGCACAAATTAAATTACTGTACTGTGCAGCCTATAATCCAAATACTGTGAAATGAAACAGGCTGTATAAAATATAGTTTACTGTATATAAAGCAGTAAAGTACAGGTTATAAATACAGTAACGTGAGTATTACAAATAACCATACCTTGGTGCTGGTGTAAGTGCATTTCTAAGATTGTAACAGACCTTCCAATGCCCAGTATCACACTTTGTTGTACTGTTTAAATTACTTTGGGTAAGATGATTTATTTCATGGTTCATGGTTCAATACAAGATTGTTATAACATGCCATGGAAATACTTTGGAAAATCTGATAAGCATCTCATGTGGTGTGGCAGTTTGTTGTTGCCGTCACATATTCATGTCTTGTTCAGTGTTTTTGGGAAGCAAGCGTTTGTGTTTGTGCTGTGTTTTATAAGCCGTGTGTCTTCATCACTTCCATACAAATCAGATTATTGATGTCGGCAGAGGGTTTTCTCACCTCTCAATCACAGAGAGATGTTGATGTGAAGATTGTGCTGCTTGTGATGTGTGTTCAGTCTAGTGTACATGTAGCTCCATCTATACATCCTGAATTACTGTTCCCTATGTTTCATCTTGTGATAATGTTGAGAGGTCGTCTGATTTTATAAAACCTCCAGCACTTTCACATTATATCTGAGACTTTCTAACACTGTGCTACTTTGCCATTAGATAGAAACCATCCTTATAAGAGACACTAATACAGTGTGGACATTTGTATTGCTTTATGTGCTCATGTGCCTATGTTTCCACGGGTCGACAACAGAAATCTGACTTTGGCAGAGGTGGGAGAAGTACTCAGATCTAGTACTTAAGTAGAAGTAGAAGTAGCAGAGTGAAGGAATACTCTGTTACAAGTAAAAGTCCTGTTAACAAAATGTGACTCAAGTAAAAGTACAAAAGTATTGGCATCAAAATATACTTAAAGAACCAAAAGTATGGGTTCTCACTATGCAGATTAGCTAGTATATTATATATATTTTGATAATGATTATTGATGCATTAATGTGTCAGTTCTAATTAAATACTCAAGTGAAGTACAAGGACCTCAACGAGGTACTTAAGTACAGTACTAGTAGTGAATCCGTAGTTACTTTACACCTCAGGACACCATGCGGCTCCTTCTGGTTTCACATGTCCTCTGAAACCATGCTTCCTGCCACAGTCACATCTCTTTGCCGACCCCCCCAATCTCCATCCCCCCCCCCATCATCACTGTGAGTTCCTGTTACCTGTGTCTCTGTCTAATGGGATCTCCCTGTTTCGGCTCAATAGCGGATGTTGTTCAGTCTCATGGTGGTGTCTTCATGGACAGTTCGTACCCCTCATCCCCCGTAACGGGCCCCCTCTCCCGGGGCCAGCGGAGGGCCAGTGAGGTCAGCATGGCCAGCCAGGTCTCAGGAATGGCAGACAGTTACACTGCCACCAACATAGCCAACAGTAAGTGTTCTTACCTCCAACAAGCCTCTCTTCCATACACTCACACACACACTGGTCTACTTATTCCCACTCTTAGCTTTTATTTACAGTTATTTCTGTTTCTTTATTCGACTCTACTCACTTCTCTGACTCTACACACACCCTGCACTCAGTCAGATAGCTCCCTTTTTCCGCCTGGCCAGACTTTTTCTGTCTTTTTGAAATTCAAAGTCCCAAATATGAGCAAGCGAGTCCTGAAGAAGAGGAAGTTTTAGCGCCACTTTTCACTGTCTGTCTTACTCTTATCCACTGTCTAAATGTAAATGCAAAGAACCAGGGCTGCATTTCTCTGATGTGGCAATGCATGTGGACACCTGCCTCCTTCAGCCATCCCTGCATCGTCCACTCCCTGCTGCCGTGTCTGCAGAGACGGCCGGTATTCTGTCGTGTTTTATGTGAGATTGTCCTCCAAAGTCTCTCCGTCCCTCACTATTTCACTTTTGTTATCAGAGCATTTATTTGTACCTCACATTGTTTTGCACACTGCTTTTTTAACACATACAGTACAGCCCTTGAGTTTCACGCAAACTAATCATAACAGATCTTTATTTATGCGATACAGGAGCATCAGGAGACCAGCAGGCTGCCTTAACTGTACTAACTATTGTTTTTCAGCTTTTAATATTCAACCCAGCTTGCTGACACCGGGCACATCCCGACATTCACTGTTTTTGTTTTTCACATTGTTTCCTTTATTTTGGTTTACATTACAGCAGCAGTTCACACAATCATCTTTGTTAATTAACTTTTTTACATTATGCATATATAACGATTCATCTTTTCAGTTGTTTACACCGTAATAATACTGTAGAACACAAACATAGTTGTGTTTTCCATTTGAGATCAAAAAACATTTCGAACCAAATAAGGGCTTTTTGGGGAAACACAAGTGTTCTTCCCCAAATTTCAAACAAAAAATGGTATAGCCTCATTGAGAAGGTGAATCTATACCAATAATATTCTAGCAGATACACTCACTACTTCAAATGTGTATTTTGTTTTATATTTTTACTATTTATATATATAGTCTGGATGTTTAAGCCCAAGTAATTGTATCACTAATTCTGTATACATCTAAAGTATTTACTGTAATGCCTCAGTATTTCATGTGATTTCTTTTTCTGTTTTCTCCCCATAGCCAAATCATGCCAAATTAACCAATCCAAAATAATCGGCCTTTTGTCCCAACTCGCCCTTTCATCACAAAACAAATTCTTCCTGAGAAGTCCTCCAAATTCCCGTAAGAAAGCGGAGTCTGGCGATGCCGCAGGATCTCCTGACGCAGACCTAGCGGCAGAGCAGGACAGTGAGGCCGACAGTAGTGAAAATATAAATCCCTTCTCACCCGGACTGGACTTTGCTATATCTGACCTGGTCTCACTGGACTCCCAGGCTGAAGTGGACCAAGGTATTTTTATAAGGGAGGGGATTCATTCTGAAATCAACGTGAAGCTCCAGCTGTTTTCTTTGCGCTGTCCTATACTGTGTCAAAATCCCAAAACTGGACACTGCTCTTCCAGAAAGCCTCTTTTTCTTCCCATTTACTTGCTGATGTTGAAGGGTTATCACTTCCATTGATTAGGAATAATGTATGAATCTATCAAATCTTTCTTCATGTCAATACTAACATGAATAACCATCTTCAGTTGCTCATCATGCGTCGGTTCTAACTATCTCATTCTTCTTTTTGCTCTGGGATTTCATGTTAATACCAAATATAAACTACCAATTTCCTTCTTTTAGATGAAGAACAGCTGGGATCGGTGATTTAAATTGTCTTTTTGCTTTAGCTACAGGGGTGTTGCACCTCTGGGTGGCATGTTTCACCTTATGTATTTGCACCCTACTCACTTGATTCCCATGGCAGTGGCGGCACGTTGGTGGGGCACGAAGCGGCTGGACTTCGCCCTGTACTGCCCCGACGCCCTGACTGCTTTCCCCACCGTGGCTTTACCGCATCTCTTCCACGCATCGTACTGGGAGTCCACTGATGTTGTGTCTTTCCTCCTGAGACAGGTGAGTCAGCATCAGATGACCTGCCACTCTTTATGGCCTGTTAACAATGTGAGTCATCTTCAGAGATGCTGAGGATGAGTCATTGAAATGTCTCCCGTAGGTCATGAGGCATGAAAACTCCAGCATCCTGGAGCTCGACGGGAAAGAAGTGACAGAATTCACCCCCTCTAAACCCCGGGAGAAGTGGCTCCGCAAGAGGACTCACGTGAAGATCAGGGTAAGATAAGATAAAATAAGATAAGATAAGAGCTTTATTAATCCCTAAGGGGAAATTCAGTAGTTCAAACAGCAACAGGGTAAGAATGAAAAACAGGACAGCACAGATTCGAGATTAATACAATTAAAGATCAAATCAAAGATAAAAATACAAATCAAATGATATACAGTTAAGTAACTTTAAAATAAGAAATTAATTCAAATGAACATATATACATATTTTGGTCATATATACATATTAGATATATTTACATGTATGTGTGAAAACAGTGTGTTTTTTCAGTCAAGGGCATCACATCTACAAAAAACGTCAGTGTCAGGGGAAACATAATCCTGAATCCCTTTCTTGCCTTGTCATATCTCATAAAAAGAGTAATTACCGTATGAGAATGAGTCTAAGAGTCTGGCAGGAGATAAGTTACTAGAGTGGATGTGCTAGATAAAACTGTATTTAAAGAAAGTAAAAATGCACGGAAAGACTTGGAAGACAGGGGGGATTCGGCTTGCTCACCTGCAGTCATACATGCGATAGTGTGGGAAAGTTGCCATTTACATTTCTCTCTCCCTCCTTTGACAGAACGTGACCGCCAACCACCGTGTGAACGACGCTGTGTTCACAGAAGACTTGCAGCAGGTCCTCACAGGTCGCTTCATGTATGGCCCTCTGGACATGGTCACCTTGGCCGGGGAGAAGGTGATCTTAATTTTTTGTTACACCACAACAGCTCACAGAGACTGATGTCTGCATGTGTAGTTTTTGCTCATGTTTGTTTGATGCTGTACAGGTTGACCTCCACATCATGACCCAGCCTCCCTCAGGAGAGTGGATTTACTTCGACACAGAAGTGACCAACAGTAGTGGCCGCGTGTCTTTTGTCGTCCCGGATGACAAACGTCTGGGCATCGGAGTCTACCCGATCAAAATGGTTATCAGGTGAGATGAGACCATTTCACAGCAGACATTTTATTAATGCCTGGCCTGCCTAATCAATAAAGGATTGCCTGATGTCTTATGTAATATATCAAAATGAAAACTTGTAGAGTTTTCCAGTTTAAGGTTTTGCAATACAAATGCGTTTTCAAAAATATTTCAAATCCATAACAAAATGACATTAATAATATTATTTAAATGTGAGCAAATTGATGATATTAAGATAAATGTGTAACCCCCGGTACACTGGAATTGATATTGATATACGTATGTGGAACTTTTGTTCGAGAAAAACAAAGTTGCTGGCATTATTCATTGTCTTATTTCCTTGTTAACACCCAAACAGGGCCGAGAACAAAATCCTTAGAGCATGTCTTAAGAGTACTGAATTATTCTGTTATCGCTTTAGCTCGGATTGTTGTTGTGTTTCAGTGTCCTCAAGGTTCCGTAAACAAAACCATTTGTCACTTGGTCTGTCTCTTTTGTCTTAATCTCTGTTGTTCTTGTTATCCCTCAGGGGCGACCACACGTTTGCAGACAGCTACCTGACAGTCATTCCCCGGGGAACGGAGTTCGTGGTGTTCAGCATCGACGGGTCGTTCGCTGCCAGCGTGTCGATCATGGGCAGCGACCCCAAAGTGCGGGCCGGAGCCGTGGATGTTGTCAGGTGCCTAGAGGCCTTTTAGTTCTCTGGTTTTAAACAGGGCTGTACCAAATAGTGAAACACTTTGAAGCTTTATTCATAATGTTGACATTTAGAAGACATTTTTTTTATTAATTATGTTAAAACCTGGTTTTCTGCAAGGTTGCAAAAAATAAAGAATTACACTTAGATTATCAGAATTATTTTAGAAATAGATTCGAGTGGTGGTTGCCGAGGATTGTTCCAGACGTGTGGCATCGAAACATTTCTAATACCTCGTTGGTAAGTCATAAAGTCAAAATGTACTGGAGGAAAAAACTAATTTTCGGGAAGACAGCAACCAATTTAACAAACAAACAATACTCATTTAATCCAATGAATCATTTGAGTCACATCAAGGATTTTGTTCATTAAAAAACACTTTGTTTAAGAGTGATGATGTCTTGGGGATAGTGGTGGTCTAATGGATAGTGAGGTGGGCTGAAGATCGGAAGGTTGTGAGTTCAAATCCCGCCAGGAACACCACCACTAGTGTGCCCTTGAGTAAGGCACTTAGCCCTTAGTTACTCCAGGGAGAATGTCCCTGTAATTGGTAATTGTAAGTCGCTTTGGATAAAAGCGTCAGCTAAATGTAATGTAATGTAATGTAATGTCTGAGGATATGACGACAATCATTCAGAAACCTCAACAGAAGCTTTGAATGTACAGAAAGACGTTCGGCACAGCCCCGTCTTTCAACAAGAGCCTCTTTCAGATGACATTAGTGTGTAGCGTTGTAATTCATCTCTAAACCCTGATCTCCTGTTCCTCCTCGCTGCAGACACTGGCAGGATCTGGGTTATTTGATCATCTACGTGACGGGTCGCCCGGACATGCAGAAGCAGCGGGTCGTGGCCTGGTTATCTCAGCACAACTTCCCGCACGGCATCGTCTCGTTCTGCGACGGCCTCGTCCACGATCCGCTCAGACACAAGGCCAACTTCCTCAAGACCCTGACCGAGGTAGGGTCTATGTTTGATAAGCACCAGAGTTTGTAGTTTGGACTACAATGAATGAAGAATATATATGAAAACAGTGCTCATGTTGATTTGACTGATTCCAGGTTAACATGAGGATTTTCGCTGGCTACGGATCAACCAAAGACATCTCAGTCTACACCGCCATCGGCATCCCCTCCTCCCAAATATACATCGTCGGTAGACCTTCCAAGAAACTGCAGAGCCAGTGCCAGGTACCGATTCTCTTTTGCATAACTTGGGAACTTGGTCTTGCTTTTCAGATTAAAAATCACTTATTTCAAGTTAGTTTGTTTTTTCTTTTTTGCTCAAGGTGTTTTTATTAGTATTTCGAGTGATATAACATCTAATAAACGTACACAAATACCCCCCCTCCATGTGTTATATTATAGCATTACTGTACCCTAATAATGAAGAATCAATTCCATACGTCGACAAATGCAAAATACAATAACACACAAAATACAATGAACCAAAAACAACAACTAGTGAGAAAGTGGTCAGAAAAACAGACAAATAATTATATTCAATTTAAATATGCTAAATATAATATATCAGGTGTGTCCTTTTTCTCAATACAGCTTAAAAATGGTTGCCATAAAGCCTTTTGACCACAGCCTCTTGTAGAATAGCACAATTCCTAAAATGCTAATGATGTATAGGGTCTAAATGCACAGCCTTGAGGTTGGAGGAACCTTTTACTTTGACTAATTTAACTGAATAAATAAATAAATATCGCTATGTTGTGTTTTTCATTCTTAAATAGTTCAGTTGCAGCAGCCAAAACTCAGAGGTCTTTGCCTGGCACAGCATTGTATTTTTATTATTTCATCCTGCAGATCACGAGAACTGAATCAACAGAACTGCTATCTTGTGTCATATATTGTATGTTTATTATACTTTTTGGATATTTGGAATATGGCTTTTCTCTGGTTATCCCTAAGCTGTAAATGAGGCGTTGAATGTGCTCATAGATAATCCTCCTTAGGTTACGTTCTGCTGCGCCTTTAGAGGGAGAAGCTAATTGTAAATTCTGTACAATACGCTGTCAGGAGTAGGCTAGTCAAAGTCAGTCAAAGTCAAAGTCAACTTTATTGTCAATCTTCCAGTTTGTGTGTACAGACAGTGAGATCGAAATACTGTTTCCCGCAATCCCGACTATAAAAACAAATGTATAGAATATAAAAATATGAAAATAAAAATATGTGTGCGAATATGTAAGTCAAAGACACATGTTTACACGTGCACACATTAAGACCTAAATAAAAACACAACAATCAATATATACAAAATAACAGTCACTTGAATATTTTGAGAATGTACATTATTGCAATATTTAACTGAACAAATAAATATCCATTGATGTATAACTCCTGTGGGTGTTAATAGCTGACAGCTTGTCTCTGGTCCTCTCCACAGTTCATCACAGAGGGGTATGCGGCTCATCTGTCCCAGCTGGAGTACAGCCACCGCTCTCGACCCGCTAAGTCCAGCACGGCGCGCATGGTGCTGCGTAAGGGAAGCTTCGGCCTGGGCGCTAACAGCGACTTCCTGAGAAAGAGAAAACACCTGCTGCGCACCATCTCCTCGCAGCCGGCCCCCAGCTCCCCGACGGGCAGCATCCACAGCCGGCCCGAACGCACTCAGAGCCAATCGGACGGCGAGCGGCTGGAGAGCGCTCACAGCTACGGGCCGGGGGGGGCGCAGCGCAGCATGAGCATCACCGCCAACTGCTGGGGGCGCAGCAGCAGCACCAAGATGGAGCCCGCCATCCTCAGCCCCAAGTGACACTGAGAGGGGGTTATAATACAGGAGGAAGACTAATGCAAAGACTGAGAAACACTGGGGTTGGAGATGGGTCAATGCCACAATGAACACAATATGTGCTACAAACCACTGTTTATGACCTAATGCCAGTCACACTCTACACAGATATTTATGAACAGAGGCTTTATTTATTACACAACACACACACAACTCAACAGGCATTTCAAGGAGCAACTTCCTGAAACAGGGACACAAATAGACTTACCGCTTATATTGTTGAGATCCAGACTGTTTCTACTATCTATTTATCAGTCTATTTAAGTCTATACAACAGGCTTTTAGACTGAAGATGGTTCCAGATACAAGCACCCCAATGCTGTATTCTAGCAAACAAGACAAAGTGGTTACAGACAGCCTGTATCAGGTGTAAGTGCTGATACTGTAACCAACTACTGCCACAGCAAGCACAGCAATTCATATAGAGATCAACTTTGTGCTTAATAGTTTTAAAGATATGTTGTTTTTATGTGATAATCAGATATGTTCACGTCTGGGAGCAGAGCTGAGAATCAGGCAAAACTGGATTGAATGTCTGACCAAACACATCCAATCATTAAGCCAACAGTTTTAGGAAGACCATTTTTTTTTTAAATCCCTTTTGCTGTGTAAGCCAACATGAAATCATTGAATCAACTTGTTGCATTTATAAGCAGTCCAGTTTTGCTTGTTTTCTGGCTGTCCCTCAGACCAAAGAACCATCCAAATATCTCATGAAGCAAAACTGCGAAATGACCCTTTAACCTACGGCTGCAGCTGAAACCTTTCCTGGGATTTTATAACATTTCACCACATCTCGCCACGCCGCTGCTGAACCTTCGGAAATGTGCGACTCAGCACCTGTACGGTTAACGTGCCAAAGCGAACAGTGTAGAACGATATGCTGCACATGAACAGAGAGGAAACGATTAAGGTGTACAAATGGATTGTGTAAGTATGTATTTGAATGGCTTGTACATATTGCTTTACTACAGTGCAGATCTGGTATCTGGTCCACTGAAGACCAGCTTCAAGTGTCTTCTTTACTCCGGGGGGGGAACACCGCCTCATTCAGGATACACTTCAATTATGATAGTTGTTGTTATTTATGATTATGGATATTTTAAACATGTATTGATTTTGTGAACCAAGTGTGTTTTTAGATTACTTTAGCTATGTTGTGTTTTTACCTTTCATTCTTAAATAGTTCAGTTGCAGCAGCCAAAACTCAGAGGTCTTTGCCTGGCACAGTATTGTATTTTTATTATTTCATCCTGCAGATCACGAGAACTGAATCAACAGAACTGCTATCTTGTGTCATATATTGTATGTTTATTATACTTTTTGGATATTTGGAATATGGCTTTTCTCTGGTTATCCCTAAGCTGTAAATGAGGCGTTGAATGTGCTCATAGATAATCCTCCTTAGGTTACGTTCTGCTGCGCCTTTAGAGGGAGAAGCTAATTGTAAATTCTGTACAATACGCTGTCAGGAGTAGGAACACAGAGCTCAGACTGTGTCACGCTGTTCACCTTTTATTTCTGAAACACATTTGTGATTTATTCATTCAAATGATGGTTATTTCCCCCTCAAATAGAGCTCCTGTAGAGAGCTGACTGCGATGGACCAATATGGACTCAAACGTAAGGGAAACGTGCAATATTTCTCAACCACAAGACCAAACAGACTGTGTTGAGGAAGTGTCGCAACGCATTGACAATCAGATCAACAGGCACATGTTCTATAGAGATTACATTGCAGAGGGAATCTGAACACATATGAGCAGCACTCAACAAATTCATAGGCACATTTATAGTGTGTCAAAATAAGTTAAAAAAAGTGCCACTGATCTGAGAAAAGTATGAAATATTACAGTAGGTTTTCTACTGTGGACTGACATCCTCAATCTCAATGTTGAATTTTAAGTCACCTACATTTAAAAGTGACCCAGAAATCAATGTTTTACCCTCTGAAAAGAATTAGCCCTTAACAAATCCTTTATAAAAGTTTTAACTGTTATTGAAAGGATCGAGTTAATGGTGGTTTTGGGGGCTGCTGAATTGTATAGTGTTATACTGGGAGGCGTTTCTAGTATTTTGTCTACCCCTTTATATCAATGAGGAGAGACAATGTTCGATAACTCAGAGTAGATCTCAACGCATAAGAAGGAAGGACGTTATTACAAACTGTCGGCTGCTGATTAAAGAACGGCTGTTTGATCATTGCTGTAAAACATGCACTTGTCTAAAGTTGGAAACTACTGAACCATACATCCTTCCTCAGAGAACGTGTAGAGGAAGCGGTGCGTTTACCTCTGACGTTTCCTCTGGGCAGACGTTAGCTGAGTTTCTACTAACTCACACACGATCAGAGGCCTTACACTTCCCTCTTCTGCCTTACATTGAACATGTGTTGCGAGGCCTCGACTGAACGCTGCTCACTCCCAAATTGACTCGATGGAAAAGGATAGACTGTTTGTCGAACGGACATTTTTTCCTCAAAATGCTTTGGCTTGTTTTCACTTTAAAAGGAAATATTTCACCAACATTAGGCAATCTGTCTCAAGCTCTGTTCCCCGGGTTAATGCAACGCCACCACTGTTACATCCGTTAGCATTCATAGGCTGTACATACATATGCAACATACCTTGGTAAAAATGTCATTGTACAGGGTGTGTATCTTGTAGATTTTTGGATAACTTCATTGTATCCATTCCCTTGTGTTTGTATGTACAGTGTATACAGAACATAAAAAGATCAACTCATTATTTGCCTTTTTTCACAACACTGTCTGTGGAGTCATTTGGTTCAGCATCAATGACCTGGATTATTCAAATAAAGGGGAATTGATATAGTTAAGAAAATAACTTTTATTTCTCTGGAAAAAAGTTACACAAATACAGATTTGTTCAGAGAACCACAATATGTAAAATATGTTTGCAAAAGAGTCAGGAAGGATGCTTAACATTAAAAAAAAAAAATTGCAACATTAATCAGTTTCTAATTAAACAAATATTTGATTGGCCAGACTGTTTGAAGTCACAGATCATCTGAGTAACAGACAACCTTACTCGCTGGATCTTACCTTAAATGCAATCGACAAAATGCTTTAAAACAAGGAGACGAATAAATAAGCAATAATCAGCGAATTATCAAACTATTTAGGACAGTTTCTTTTGTAGATTTCAGTATACTTAAAATAAAACTCCAGCACAGATTAAGAAAGGCAAATCAAAACGAGAAGCTGGATTTCCCTGGAGGTCGTAATGTAGGCAATGTTCACTCTTTAGTGTTCATTACGTGCCGGCACATGTACCTACACTACAGTAAACTGGCAGAGGCCAATTATATCAGATTCAGCTTATTGAGGCTTTACTCCTGAGGAGGATCAGGGCTTCTTCTACCTGTTGATTCCCAGTTTCTTCTGGAAGGCATTCCCATCTCCCTTGGTGGATTGCTATGGGACACATGGAAGTTCACTGTTAGACATGAGGGAACACTTATTGCACAAAGTTTCAAATTGGACATTTCTCTCGTACCTTGTTGATTTCTTTGTGTCTGTCTTTTGTGACCATCTCCTCTATGATCTCCCCTTCTCCTCTCACCAATCTGAAAGAACATAATAACTTTTAAAGGGTGGTGACTTGGCTTTAAGACTGAGATGGAGGTGTTTGATCGTCCCAGGTGAACTGCTCCTTTACACTTCCTTGTTGTTGATTGTGAATTATTCTAATAGTACTCTTCAGCTCGGGCTCACCTGGTGCGTCCTGTCTCCGGATCGACCACTTTGCGGATCACGCTCTGCCGGGCGTCGTACTCCTCTTTAGTGAGGGGCCTCTTGGTGGCCAGCCGGGCTTTCTGCTCATCCGTCATCACTGCGGAGGAAAACGGAGAAAAATACGATAAATAAGATATTTTTGTCTTAAAGGTAGGGTAGGTAAGTTTGAGAAACCGGCTCGAGATACACTTTTTGTTATATTCCATGGAATGCTCTTAACATCCCGATAGCAATGAATATCTTAAGTGCTTTGACAACAAATCCATTAAAAAATGTCATCTGTGGAAGCCGTAGTACTGTAAAAAGTACGACCAATCATTTTAGCCGGCCCGGCTAAAATAACTGGATGGCCTACCTGCCTGTCAGCCTTCCATCTGTGCACAAACTTATCTCGTGCCCTCATTGGTCATGTGCGCGTCGTGCGTGTTGGAGGAGGGGCTCTATAAGGAAGTGGCAGATTTTCTCCGGTTGTGTATTTTCAAATTCTAGCGATCTCGAGCCGGTTTCTCAAACTTACCTACCTTTAAATCTGATCATTCTATATAATTTCATCAACCAGAGGGTCTATTTAAGCAATAGCTCACGACAGGCCGTGGTGTATGGTCATTATATCACAGCTAAGGGGCGTGGTTCGGCCCGACATTAGTTTAGTAACGGACGTAATGTAACAGTTGTAGCTGTTTCTCAGACGCGGAGGGATACATGACTTGTGAAAAGTAACTACAATTCTACCCATGATATACGCTCATTATATCACGGCTAAGAACCAATCAGATTGCTTGATTTGACTTGTCCGTTTTATAATAAAATATATATTCGAAACACTGAAGTGATGTCCCACCTGGTCCCAGCTCCAACGCCCCCTCGTCACTCTGCCAAACCTCCAGGAAAGATGGAAGCTTCTCCGCTGGAGGACTGGGCAACACCACCTCCGCTTTCTTCTTCTCCTCCTCTGCCTTCTTCTTCTTCTCTTCCTTCTTCTTCTCCTTCTCCTCCTTCTTCTTCAGCTTCTTCTCCTTCTTCTTCTCCTTCTTCTTCTGCTTCTTCAGCTTTGCCTTCTTCTTCTTCTCCTTCTTTCGCTTTGCTTTACTTTTCTTCTTCTTTGTCTTTTCCTCACTCGACGAGGTTGAAGATGAGGAGGAAGAAGAGGACGACGTTGAGGAGGAAGAGGAGCTTCTTTTCTGCTTCTTTTTTTCTGTTTTCACATCTACGGGAAACAAGAAGTATAACAGAGTTACTTGATAAACACACTTTCAGCTGCAGCTTTTCCAGAGTCATTTCTTATGATTACATTTTTCCACAGGCCAACAACAGCATCAAAAAAACTATTTCCCTCAAAGAACAAACCAAACATGCCCTGTTGTCTCAAGAAAACAAGTGCAGAAGGAAACATCCATTAAACTCAGTTTGCTGCTCTGTGATGCTAGTTCAAGCCAGATACTTGGCATCTCATCTTGGGTGCAAGTTCATCAATGTTTGGGGTCAGGCTCTGAGCTGAGGAGATCCTCAGGATTGAGTGAAGGTGTGCGTGCAATATACCGGCGGGCCAGATCTAATAGTAATTAAAAAATTATCCTGCGGGCCGAAATTAAATCCACCAAGGGCCTGATTTGGCCCCCGGGCCTTGAGTTTGACACATGTGATCTAAACAGACTATAGATCATAAGGATTATAAACATGTTGAGTTGAGCTTTATTTAGCACAGATCTTGTAGAATATCTTGATTTTAAAGGATTGTACAGGATGATTTTTTTGGGGGGGGAAATTGTATTAACACGTGTTTCTACCGGAATCAACATAAACAATTAATTTCCCAGCAGGATTAGACTTGTATACATGTTTTCAGTCCTCACCTTGGGTTTTGAGAGAGGGTTTCTTTGATGACCTGCTGCTGGAGGAAGAAGACGACGAGGAATCAGACGAAGAAGAGTGAGAGCGTTTCCGCTTCTTCTTCTTCTCTTGTTTCTTCTGTCTGCCTTCTCGTTCAGGGGATTTGCTGCAATCCATCACGGAGGAAACAAAACCGAGATCAATCCGAACAGAGAAGCTGAATGAAGATCCTAAAATGTGAAACTGTCTAACAACAGCAGCAAGGCTGGGTAAATTTACGGAAGTGTGTGCGTCTTCGATTTCCGTCCGTACGAACACGGACGCACAATATTAAGGTTCCTAGTTCCTACTTTACTTAAAGGGGACCTATCATGCAAAATGCACTTTTGTACGTCTTTTCTACATGAATATGTGTCCCCGGTGTTCCAGGGAACTCACCAAGTGTCAGAAAACACAACCCTCTCTATTTTCCTCCATACCCAAATCTCTAAAAAAGGGGCTGCAACGGATCTGATAAAAACTGATCCAGATTTGAACATTGTCCTGACGTCAGGACGGTGTTCAAATCTGGATCAGTTTAACCTTCCTGTTGTCCTCGGTTGTCCTCGATGTCGGGTTAAAGGTTTGTTCTATGATAGTGCCAGAAAAATGATATGCGTGCCTGTATACTACGAGAAAACAATTATGATAACTTTCATTAGGTTTTGGGCAGGGTTCGAGTTATGTGGGAGCCAATGGGAGCTGAGCTTCCATAAGGAGGGGTCTGAGCTCCCACGGACGCAGTGAAATCATACATCTGTGGGGGTCGCTAATACATTACCAACAACCATTATTTTAATCACAAATAATGCATGTGTCAATGTAATGAGTATTATTGAAAAGAAAAACATGTTTTCCAAAAGAACAACGCATCTCTTGAATAACAATATGCCTGCGCTGCACCTCCAAGGTGCGCAATACTTTATTGCACAATCTATGCCTGTGAGCGTGCTGCGCGAGCCGAGATGATGAGTGTGTGCGTAGTTGAACCTTTTCATACATGGCCGTGATAAGTAGGGGTGCTGAGGGTGCTGCAGCACCCCCTGATGGAGGACAGGGAATCTGCACGTCCACAAGATTAAATGGAAATATAATACAAATATAATACAAAAAAAACTTATTTTCGGCCTTGATGTTCACATTCATAATTAAGTAAAGATAACACCCTTTTCACCCCGGTTACATTTTCCATGTGCCCTGAGAGGCTCAGTGAGGTAAAGGACTCTGAATGTTTAGATAGTTCACTTTAGTCTAAGTTATCTCAGTGTGTCTCAAACGGTTTTATCACAATTTATGTAAACAAATATTTCCAAGGCACACCTTTATAATTATTAGGATAAATAAAAACAGGTTTGAAATCATTCCAATGTATACTATAGGACAGTAAACCAACAATATCCTTTAAAACTGGAGAGATTAAAAAATATGGATGAATAAATAAATGTTAACTGGTAAAATAAGATATAAATGAACCAGCACAAATCTTGCCTAGGGCAGCAAATGGGTCAGAACCGGCCCTGGTGTCATCCCCACAGCACCCCCCATTTGAAACATGTTCCCACGGCTATGTACAACAATACGCCCAAACTGCCCCTCCTTAAAAAAAATGACAGCTAGTATCTACCTCATTGTTTTGTTTTTAGAAAAACAAAAACTAGTTGTGTCTTGTTCTTGTTCTATCAGATGTTTAATGATTCAACATGTTTTTACACTTTCCTGTTTAGATTCTGCCTCGTGTTTGTTCTCATTGGGCCGTATGGAACAACATGTTCTATTCCAATGCTCAATTGCTCTACGTCGGATTTCCTACTAACGTAATAGACACTTTGGACATTTATTAATCCTAGTAGATTGTGAGTCATCACTAGCCATTTATATAGCACCTTTCAACACAAAGCAATTCAAAGTGCCGTACAAAAATATAAGACAATAATATCTAACAACACTAACATGTGTAGTCAAATTTGTCTGAAAATGATTTAGAAATGTTGCTTCATTTGGATGGAAAATTTGCGAGGCGAAAATGTACCTCACTCTTAGTTTATGAAATCATCAACTCACTATATAAAAAAATGAAAATTGGCATCAACAGCACGAAAACAAAACCGGTTGCAACCAT